ACCGTCAGAGAAGGTGCACTGAGCGGAGGTACAACCCTGAAAGATAGGGACCGGCACAGTACCGCTGGTCTGGGCGATAGAGCGCTGGCGGGTCTCTATGGCAGACAGGGTGTCGACAAAGTCAGTGAGGGTGAGGTCACCGGGGTGGATGCTAAGAAAGCGATTGCAGGCAGTAGCAAGACGGTCAAGGAGGCGGGTGGCAAGCAGGTAGAGGGTAGAGCAGAGGGGCGGCTGAAAGGCTCTAAGCTGGGTCTCAGTGCAGGCAGAGCGCCAGGTCGCGTCTATCGTGCGCAGGTGAGCGGCCAGGTCAGCGACAGTGGGGAAAGACGCAAGGTCAGGAAAGAGCATGGGCAGGATCAGGCGACCTACAGAGGCAGCGGACGGGGTGGAATAGTGCTGTACAACAACATCTAGGAACTCCTGTACAATCGTAACCGACCTAAAGCGAGGGCGCTCAGACAGGGGGAGGGCATGATTGATCGTAAGCTGTGCTACGGCATCACGCGACAACCAGACTGAGCGGGCAAGGGCAACAGCTGCAGCGGACTCACGGTCAGCGGACGAGGGGTCAGCGGGGAGGGCAGCAGGGGGGTTCGGGCAGGGGAGCGTAACGTCAAGGTGGACCGCTAGGGAGTGGCCATCCTGCCGCTGACCAGTGAGATGACGGCGGAGGTCGACCAACCACGTGTCAAACTCGAGCAGCTGACCCTCTGCGTCGAAGCGGAGCACGGAGTCCGCCATCAGGATCAATGCAGCAGCGGTGCAGTGCAGTGCAGTGCGGAGCGGTGCAGAGCGGTGCAGTGCAGTGCTGTGGGGTGCAGGGCGGTGCAGTGCGGTGCTGTGGGGTGCAGTGCGGTACCGAGTGGTGAGGGGCGGTGCAGTGCGGTGTTGTATGGCGCGCAGCTACACAATGGACGCTAAGGTCGGCGGCGGGCCGGCGGACGAGAAGGGGCGGGCGCGGGGGCCGACTAGGAACGGGCGCAAGGGGGCCAGCTGGACTGGGCGCGAGGGCCGGTGAGGGACGGGCGCGAGGGCGGCTAGAAGGGGCACGAGGGCCGGCTGGAACGGGCGCAAGGGCCGGCTAGAAGGGGTGCACGGGGCGGCTAGGAACGGGCGCGAGGGCCAGCTGGAACGGGCGCGAGGGCCGGCTGGAACGGGTGCGAGGGCCGGCTGGAGCGGGCGTAAGGGCCGGCTGGAACGGGCGCAAGGGGCCGGCTAGAACGGGCGCAAGGGCCGGCTAGGACCGGGCGCGAGGGCCGGTGAGGAACGGGTGCGAGGGCCAGTTAGGACGGGCATGAGGGCTGGCTAGGAACGGGCGTGCGGGCTGGCTAGGAACGGGCGCGAGGGGCCGGCGAGAACGGGCGTGCGGGCCGGCTAGGAACGGGCGTGAGGGGGCGGCAGGAACGGGCACGAGGGGCCGGCTAGAACGGGCGCTAGGGGGGGGTGGCGGCTAGAACGGGCACGAGGGGCGGCTGGAACGGACGCGCGGGCCGGCTAGGAGACGGGCGCGGCTACGGGACGGGCACGGGCCGGCTACGGGACGGGCTCAGGCCGGCGACGGGACAGGCCGGCTACGGGACGAGCACGGGGCCGGCTACGAGGAGGGCGCGGGCATGGGACGGGCGCGGGCCGGCTACGGGACGAGCGCGGGCCAGCTACGGGACGGGCGGCTAGGACCTAGGGCGGAAGCGTGGGCGGGCGGTGGGACCTACCTACTCATGATACCATATCAGAATTGAAGAAGTGATTAGAAGGAGAGAGTACAAGGGTATATAGCCTAGAGTGTTGTACCCTCTAAGGCACAAACCTATATTGTCTATACTAACATACTTTGATATGTTTGACATGAACCCCTCGGTTTTCGTTAATATTTTCGCTAGTGGCACTTCTTTGTTATCCGCGTGACAAATGACCCAGTACTACGATTAATATGAATACATAATATATTAATTGAACTTACATCTTTAGCCTTTTTGCATCATTGGATCTATGTCGACATATATTGTGAAATATAAATCCAACAAAAACAACTGAGGCTAATTTACATGCGAACTGGCTCATTTGCATGGATCAAACACACAAAATTTCAACATATCTTCAAAAGCTTTAAAAAATATTTAGATGACATCCACGGTGCCAAAAACAAGAACACATATGTGGCCCAACATGACTTCGTGGTACGATGCTTTTAGTTTTCCTGATGGCAACTCTGATTTTTTTCACACATAATATTTCTCTTGACCACAAACTTGCGTCCACTTCATCCATTATTTTATTGAGTGTTCTTGTCTCTGGTTTGTAAAGCATAGTATTAGCAATACTGTATGACTATTATGGAGAATATACAGCTCACTTAGTTCTATTTTCCGTAGTAGTGTGTCATTTATGGGTGGATAGTGAAGAAGGGCCAGTGGTGAAAAGATTAACGAAAACCGAGGGATTCAGTTGCGTTTGGGGGGTTGAAACATGTTTGTGCCTATGTGTCGCGTTTTGAATGGTCGATACATCTTTCCATCGATCAGGACGGAAAACCTCGCAAATTTTGATGATTCAGAACTGTTCGTAATGACGCAGATCGGAAAGATTACGTATTCTAGTTATGAGAACACATTTTGTCTGTACAGATAAGCCGCCCAGTGTTGCCCATCTAGCAGCAAATTACCCTTTTACTATCTGTAGGTCTGACAAGCTCGTTACTTTTGTCGATCTCTTTTTGCCACGCGTCAAGCGTGAGATGCGCGCTATTGAATTGACGGCTGCCAAACCTCACACATTCCGCGAAAGTGTCGATTTCGCGCATCATTCTGATCCTTGCACCCTAAACCCTGAATGGCTGCATTTCTGATTCTGATGCTGCACCCCAGGAATATGACGAAAGTAGTGCCATTATTCCAGCATGCTACTTGTAAGGAAATTCCCTTTTCCTTACTGGGCTCGACTACTGCGCGTACGCCCTCGACTCTCGGAAGTCCAGGCTCGGCCAACTTCTTCGGTCCCGAACCACTTCGCGAACCCGAACCTTGACGCGCAGAGCTTCCGTGGCTTTTGCCAACCGAATTGCCCCAACCTGTTGACGTGGTTCTCGGCTAGCTCTGTTCGTGCCTATAAATGCCTAGGCCCTCATTTGTATCGAGACTCTTGAATCACGACTCCATTATATTACACTACCTGTTATTACTCTTATTAATTCATAACATCTGGTATCAGAGCCCCGTTCCTGCCCGCTTAGTCTTCCGTAGAGTAGTCCGATTATATCGGGAGAGGACTCGACAGAATAGAGGTTTGGCCAGGTAGGTGAGCTCATTAAAGCTCCTCCAACTAAAAGCGTGTGCACCCTCAGATATGTCAGGTAAAATTTCCAGCATGACTAGCACGCCGCAAACCTCTGTCCGTCGTAGTGTTAGGAATGTGACTTGGGAGGAGTTTGACGAGTTGCAAGCTAGGGCGGCTACAGTGATGACACTGCAGGCCCAGCTTCAACAACTCGCGGACAAGTTCGCGTTGCTGGGAAGCGAAGTTCAGACGCTGCGCAACGAAAACTCGTCGCTTCGCCAGACGCGGGGTGAAACGCGTCAGGGGCGGCCTGTTACCCGAGACAAAGATGATGCGAGCGAAGCGAGGGCGTCGGCGACACCTGAAGCAATTGAAGAAGGCTACAGCGAGTTGCGGGCGGCCATTAAAATCAAGCCTCCGATGCCCCCACCATTCAACCCGACTGGCAGGACAACTACAGTGAGCGGGTGGCTGTTCGCCATGGAAATCTTCTTCACAGCAGCAAGTATTAATGACAATGCATCACGTGTCAACTTGGCGGTGTCGCTGCTGAGGGGACCGGCACTCGACTGGTGGCGCATGCATCTAGACGAGGGAGGAGCCCCAGCAGGGAATCAACAGGCGGCAGATGGGGAGATGAGTTCATCAACGGCGAAGGCAGAACCAATCTTTGGATTAGCCACGATCCGCACGTTTCGCGTGGGGCAAAGCGTTGAAAGGCAAATTCGAGCACATATCCATGCGCGAAAATGCTCACACAAAGCTTCGGATGTGGAGACAGTTGGGCTCTGTCCAAGAATACACGGCGTCGTTTTTGGCAATCTGCGGCCAAATTGGAGGGATTAGCGAAGACAAGAAAATCGATCGCTACGTGGGTGGTCTCAAGCCGGAGATTCAGCACGAGATCGTCCTGCGAGCCCCGACGATCTTCAACGAGATCGTTCGTATAGCAGACGCGCTGGACACACGATGTGGACTCGCGAGAGCGGGTTTCTGGGAGGGAAATCTCTTTTGAGGCCAGCCCCAACACACATCAATCAACGGCGTGGACGTGTTTGCAGCCAGAGTATTTTCGAGGACCTGCTTCCACTGCAACCAGCCGGGTCACATGGTGAGGGAGTGGCCGCAGCTGAAGAAGAACTTACCTAACGACAAGAAGCAGTCAGGAAATGGAGATCGTCAGTGGCAGATGGGCCACCTACTGACTTGACTGCGTCGCCCAAACGCCACCACCCCCACCAGGTTATAGTGCCGGTTTGGGCTATCGACAATTCCTGGCTGAATAAGGGGGGTGAACCGGTTGATCACCCTGTGATAGTTGAAGGAAGAGTTGGCGACACCCGCATTAAAATATTCGTTGATGGCGGGGCGAACTACTGTTTAATGGATGTGACGAAGGCAAAAAAACTGCGACTGCAACTAGAGCGCTGCATGCCGGAAATCGACGCGAGATTGGTCGATGGCACACCACTGGCAATTCGGGAGCGAGTACCTCACGTGCGAGTAACATGCGGCGAAAATTTCAGCTTCACGATGAAGATACTGGCGACAACTTTGGACGGCTGCGACATGCTGCTGGGACGCGATTGGCTGTGCGAATACAGCCCGAGCATTGACTGGCGGACGAGTGACTGTCGCATCAAATGGAGTGGCGAGTGGCGACGACTTCCCAAGTGGAGCTGTCGAGATTCCACGACGTCGACGGTCGGCGCGGTTACCATCAAGCGAGCTATGATCCGCGGGGCGCAACTGTACGCTGTCCGATGGATCGCATCCACGGCTGTCGACACACCAGCCGACATCGACAAACTCTGCGCAACTGTCTCGAACGATTTGGTAACGTTGATTCGCAAGCACGCCGACATTTTTTCAGACGACCTACCGGCGGGATTGCCACCTGAGCGAGATCACGACCACAAAATCGAGTTGGAGCCAGGTGCGCAACTGACTGTTCGAACTCAAATGAGGGCTGACTGAGCCCGAGCTGGATGAACTTCGACGCCAGCTGGACTACCTGCTCGGAAAAGGTTTCGTTTGCCCCAGCACTTCACCGTTCGCAGCTCCGATCCTGTTCACCCCAAAGAAAGATGGTGGTCTATGCATGTGCATCGACTACCGCGCCTTGAATCGGGTTACCATCAAGTCCTGCTATCTAATCCCGCATGCTGACGAACTAATCGACCAGCTTCGCGGAGCCAAGTTCTGTTCGAAAATTGACCTGCGAGGCAGTTACCATCAGATCCGCGTGAACGAAGCTGATTGCTACAAGACGGCGTTTCGCACCCGGTACGGGAGTTACGAGTACACAGTTATGCCTTCGACATTCCAGTTAACCATGAACGAAGTTTTTCGGCCGCTGCTGGATAAATGCGTCATCGTGTACCTCGATGACATCCTAATCTACAGCACTACTCGGGAACAGCACTTGAAGGATTTGGAAGCCGTTTTCTCTCTCCTGCAGCAGCATCGACTCATCACCAAGGGATCTAAGTGCAAGTTTCTAAAACAAGTGGTGGAGTTTTTGGGCCATGTCATTTCCATCGATGGTGTTAAAATCGACCCTAAAAAAATCGCGACCATACAAGACTGGAAGCCGCCGGCTAATCTCCGATAACTTCAAAGTTTCATGGGATTTGTGAGTTACGTTCGCCGGTTCATTCCGAACATGGCGGGCGTAACTTCCCCTCTCACGGATCTCCTGAAGAAAGGCAAGTTTTATGAGTGGGGGGGAGAGCAGCAGGCTGCGTTCGAACAGCTCAAACTTTTCCTGACTACATCTCCGGCTCTTCGAATTGCAGATTTTCACCCTCCGTTTGAGCTCATCACCGACGCTAGCGACCTTGCTGTTGGCACAGTACTGTTACAAGACTTCGGCGAAGGCCTTCAACCCATCGCCTACGAGTCACGAAAGCTGAACCCGGCCGAGCAAACTTACCCTGTCCACGACAAGGAGTTACTCGCCATCGTTCACGCTTTCAAGGTCTGGTGCTGCTACCTGACGGGCGGTGACGTGACAGTCAGAACAGACCACAAATTGCTACAGTTCATCCGCGCCCAACCGACACTGAATCCCTGACAGATTCGCTGGCTCGATTACCTCGAGTCAAAATTCCACTACAGAGTCACCTACAAACGGGGGGTTAGCAACATTGCTGACGCACTGACCCGCCCTTCAGTCCACACCGCCGCAGTCCTAATTACCCAAGCTAATCCGCTACTAAGTGGCCTATTCACCCACGGATACACTACCGATCCATTCTTTACCACTAACAGTCATCCCCAACTGACCTCCAAGCAAGGGGGCTATTACCTAAAATCCGGTACCAATCGGATTTGGGTTCCTGCCTACCGTACCCTACGCGAGCTACTGATACAGGAGGCACATGACTCGAATTTCTCGGGTCACTACGGCATCGACAAAGCTGCCAAATTACTGAGCCGTAATTATTACTGGCCCGATGTGTCGACAGGTGTGCAGCAGTACGTCACCTCCTGCGCCACGTGTCAACGCATGAAGTATTCACGGCTTCGACCTGCGGGATTGCTGCAGCCGCTCAAGCCACCCAGCCGACCCTGGCAACAAGTGACGATAGATTTCGTCACTGGCCTGCCAGCTGGTTCAAGCGGTAACGACGCGATTCTTGTCGTCGTTGACCGGTTGACCAAGATGGCCCACTTCGCCGCCTGCAAGATGACAATCACTGCCGAGCAGACAGCGAAACTGTTCCTCACAAAAATCGTGCAGCTACACAGCATTCCTCGGTTCACATCCAACTTCTGGACAAAAACCTTGCAGCAGTACGGCACACGTCTGCATCTGTCCACGGCATACCACCCGCAATCTGACGGCCAAACCGAGCGCACCAATCAGATGATGGAGCAGCTGATTCGCACGACGTGCACAGACCCGGCCCAATGGGAAGACTCCCTTTCCTTGATCGAGTTTGCGTACAACAACTCCCCATCAGCCACGACTACTCAGTCCCCGTTCTTCCTCAATTACGAGATAGACCCGACAACCCCTCTATCGCCACGGATAGAAAATCCGGCACCAAGTTCTCAGTAGTTCGTCGAAAATCTCGACAGTCTCAGCAAAAAGCCGCTGATGCCATCCTCAAAGCCAACGGGCTAAGCAGCAAGCTGACCGACGACGCCGAGACTTAACTCTTGCCCCTGGGCAATTGGTCCTGCTCGACACCAGAAATTTGGGAATTCCCCTCCCAAATAAACTACGATGAAGATTTTGCAGCCCATTCCGCATTATCCGCATGGTGACACCAGTCACCGCCCAGCTGCAATTGCCGGTCGACTGGCGAATTCATGATTCATTTCACGTCATTCTCCTGCGACCGTTCGTCCCGAGCACAACTAATCTCGACCGTCAACACATCAATCATATGGTCAACCCAGTACCTGAGCCGACGATCGAGCCATCGAAGATTCTCGCTCATCGCGTACAAGGCCATCAAGAAACGACAGCCGTTGATTTCCTTGTACGCTGGGTCGATCGCACGATTGACGAAGACCTTTGGGTCCCCGCAGCTATGCTCGGCGAACACAAAGTCGTCCGGGACTATTTACACCGACGACGTATCCCGGATGTGGGTAGTCTCATCCCAGAAGGGGGGTTGGTGTAAGGAAATTCCCTTTTCCTTACTGGGCTCGACTACAGCATGTACGCCCTCGACTCTCGGAAGTCCAGGCTCGGCCAACTTCTTCAGTCCCGAACTACTTCGCGAACCCAAACCTCGACGCGCAGCGCTTCCGTGGCTTTCGCCAACCGAATCGCCCCAACCTGTTCGCATGGTTCTCGGCTAGCTCTGTCCGTGCCTATAAATGCCTTGGCCCTCATTTGTATCGAGACTCTTGAATCACGACTCCTTTATTACACTGCCTGTTGTTACTCTGATTAATTCATAGCACTACTACTGATTCCCTTTACCACAAAAAGTATAGAGCCAATACCCCCCCAATAAATATTGCTTGAGAAGGAAATATTTTATGCCTGATGAATGCTACCGTAATCCCCCGTATACAACACCCGCCGAAATAGTCACTCCGTGGGTGGTTTATGCGAGGGAGAGCTTATGATAGGGTGCATTTTGGAGAGCACCCGCTTTTCGGGGGTTGCATTTTACATAACACCTTGCTCGTTTTATGCAGCAAAGAACAGTATTCCGTCGTTTTTCAAGCTCCTCTCGATTGAAAAAAACAAGCAGGATGAAAAATGCAATGTCAACTAGCATTAGCAACAAAAAAAACGGGCAGAAGAATCAACACAAGTTGCAGCGCAAAATGGAAACGTCAGCGAAGGTTGAGATTTGGGAGGATTTCAACCGTCGAAGTCGTGGATTCTGCTGTGATTTGACGGTCAAAATCCTCCCGATCGAAAACCCCCCAGGCCTTGACGGTCGCATGAAATGGCGAGAGGTTTAGGAGCTAGGAGAGGAAGTTTACGAGAGAAAAAAGAGGTGAGACTAGGACGAGAGAGGCATACAAAGAGGGAGTTGTACCCTCTACAGTAAGATCCAGCAAGACCTACCAAGCCTACAATTATATACCTATAAAATATAATTTAACACACCCCCTAGGCTTGGTAGTCACAAACCCACCCCACATGCAACACCTCTAAGCCTAGCACCCCCATACCCTGCAGCAGAGGTGACTGTAAGGAAGGAGGGCGCTAGGCCTTCTTGAGCTGCGGCGAGGCGGAGCCAGCTGGCGTGGCGAGCTGGGACCGACGCTGCGAGCTGGGACCGACGCTGCGAGCTGGGACCGACGCGGCGAGCTGGGTCCGCTGGGACCGACGCGGCGAGCTGGGTCCGACGTATCGAGCTGGGTCCGACGCGGCGAGAAGGGTCCGACACGACGAGCTGGGGAGGTGCGGCGAGCTGGAGTGCGGGCTTGCTGCCTGGGGCCTAAACCAGTGCGCGGCCCACTGCCGCCCGTGCGCTGACGCGACGACGGCGGCACGGCGGCACGCCGAAGCCCTGAGGCATGGCGATGTGACGGGGCCAGCGCGGAGTGACGGGGCCGCGGCATGACGGGGCTGGCGCGGAGGGACGGGGCCAGCACGGCGTGACGGGGCCAGCTCGGCGTGACGGGGCCAGCGCGGCGTGGCGGGGCCAGCGCGGACTGACGGGGCCAGTGCGGGTGAAGGGGCCAGCGTGGCCTGACGGGGCCAGTGCAAAGGGACGGGGCCGGCGCGGAGTGACGGGGCCAGCACTGCATGACGGGGCCAGCGCGGCGTGACGAGGGGGGGGGAGTACGCTGCGGGAGCGTGAGGAGAAGGCCCGAGCGAAAGGGGCCTGCTCTGAAACCATGTTAGAAGAATAACTTAGCTAGGAAGGTAGGCGGCCATGAAATGGCGAGAGGTTTAGGAGCTAGGAGAGGAAGTTTACAAGAGAAAAAAGAGGTGAGTCTAGGAAGAGAGAGGCATACAAAGAGTGAGTTGTACCCTATACAGTAGGATCCAGCAAGACCTACCAAGCCTACAATTAGATACCTATAAAATGTAATTTAACACGCAGGTGCGGCACGAAGCTGGCCCAGACCACAGCACTCAGCAGGGATTGGCCAATGACGCCTGGTTCGTACGTTTCGTCTCAGCGGATGATATGCCTCGTTAACAGCCGCTCCGCGCAGTTGTGAGCTAACATGGCCTGGAACACTCAAATTCAAATTGCATTTTACATAACACGTGGGCACTATATTTTTCCGGGCCACTGTTAAAACCCCACGGCAAAATAGCAGAGGGGGGTCCCTCTTGATGTGGGAGGTCGTGAAAAAAGCTAAGTCCCTTTTCAGCGAAAACCAACCCCCGCACAGCAAATCGTAACGCAGGAACGAAACCGAACAAAACAGTATCTGACGAGCTCCCATTGGTGGAACCTGAAAACAACCCCAAGGACACGCGCGAACAGCACGCCCAACAAAAGTTCCGACAACCCCAAGTCGCAACCGGGCATCGCACAGTCTGACGACCGAAATACAACGGGGTGTGCGAGCGGGAAGCGGAAACAAGGGGTCCCTCGCTTTTCAAGAGGGACCCCCCTCTGCTATTACTGCAATAGAAAAAAAACCTCCAGTCAAGCAAACCTGGGCCGATGAGCTGTCGAACACCACAACTCACCGCCATCCTCGCTCCACAGACCTGGGTCGCCACTACTAATAGACGAAGTGGGGACCGCCCACGCTCAGTTTAGCAAACGTCATGAGTCCTAGAAGGCGGCAAGCCTCCCAGTCGAGAGCGACCCTAAAAAGACCGCCGCGAAAAGGTAAAAAAAGGGGGCTGCGCAATGCGGAGCTTCTCGTCCAGCGCAACAAGGAAAGAACAGAGCGCGAGACGAGGGTCGGACGGGGCGCCGAAAACATTGAACAACGGACGGCTCTAATCCTAGCGCGACGCGTCGAAACGGGAGTGCTGCGGCTTGCGGGACCCAAACGACGGTTTAGAGCCTTGTTGCAGAACGTGGAACCTCATATTTATACGGTTGGGGTATTACAATCCTGTTGGGACCAGCGAACACACTCTCCCATGCTTAGTTATGACCCCTCCCCCGCTCTTCGATGCCGGGGGAACGCATGTGCATGATCATCGCCACGCGTCTTTCACACATCTCGGTGGCCTGTATGCTGCGCTATCTGAAACACACACCAGTTCTGTGAGCCCCACACTCCACCTCTCACATTCCTGTTCCCACTGCCCCCCCACAGGTTCTGGAATCGCTAAGCCCTGCCCGCCTGCCCACCGTGTCGCATCCACCAGCCCATAAGCATCAAGTACGCTCACCCTCTCCACACACACTCCTCCTCTCTCTCCCTCTCCCACACACACTCTCTCTCCCTCTCTCTCCCTCTCTCTCCCTCCCTCTCTCTTTCTCTCTCTCGCTCTCTCTCTCTCTCTCTCTCTCTCTCTCTCTCTCTCTCTCTCTCTCTCTCTCTCTCTCTCTCTCTCCCTCCCTCCCCCTCTCTCTCTCCCTCACAACCTCACCCTCTCTCTCTCTCATACACTGCTGCATCCCTTGCCCACAGGTGCCCGTGCTCTGTGAAGGATCTATACGTCATCCACCCAATGCATGCGATGCAATAATCACCAAGTGTAACACACCCTTTTGACCAGTCGTCTTTGGGTGAAACACACCCCCACAGCGTGTCCCAGCACGTCTATGTTCTGCAGCTAGCGCGCTGGAACACGGGTGTGTGTGCTGCGCCACAGGAAGCAGCCGGAAGTGGGAGGCAGGAAGCGGGAACAGCGGAAACAGCGATCAGCGAGCAGTGGGGAGCGGCAGGAACCTGGGAGCGGAAAGCGGGAACAACACTCTGCGGCGGGATGCGGGGCGCGGGAATTGGGAACCCCGATGGAGCAGGAAGCCTTCCCGCGGGAAGCATGAAGCAGCGATTAGAGTTTAGCAGCGGGAAGCGGGAAGCAGCGGGTAGCGGGTGGCGGGAAGACAGGCGGGGCAGGATGCGGAGAGGAGCGAGAAGTGTTCCGCAGCGGGAAGCTCGAAGCGGGAAGAGGGAACGCGGGAAGCCGAAAGCACGGGAATTCGGGAGGCACGGGAAGCGGGAAACGGGAGGCGCAGGAAAGCGGGAGGCGCGGGAAGCGGGAAAGCGAGGGAAAAGTGGGAAGTGGATGCGAGGGAAAGCGAAAAAGCGGGAAGCGAGGGAAAGCGGGTAGCGGGAAGCATGGGAAAGCGGGAAGCGGGACGAAACGGAACTTTCGCCCTTTATTCCCTTCTTTTATTTCTTGCTCTTTATCACCCAGGTTAGGCTACGCGCGTGAGGAACTCTACTGATAGCCAGTGACGAGACTAAAGTTCGAACTCGGAAATCCTAACTTACAAATCCCTCTCACCGCTTATCCTTCCATTTTGGCTGTGAATGGGGGGTTGGTTTGTTTTTGCAAATGTGTCGGTTTGCCTTCGACCAATCACGTGTCCCCTTTCTTAGCCACTGCGACGTTGTTTCAGTTCTGTCAGGGTGGATGGGGTTACCCTCTTTATAACCCACCGAAATTTCTGGCAAATACGCTCGCGCATGTTACATCGCCATGCACGTGGCTAAACGCTGTTGGCCGTCCAATTGAGGGATCCACACGCCCACTTTGATGGCCCCGCTCTATTGGCTGCTTGAGTTTCCATGCGACGCTGCGTCTCGTCACGCATGACTAGCCCTTGCCCGAAACGTATTTTAATGAGCCATCATTTCACCAGCGGGGTTTTCCGTGCTGTTTCAAAACCTGCCCTGCCCGCAAACTATCCCCACTCTGTCCCCTCGGGCGTATGGTGGGGGGCTCCATCAAGTGGGGTCCCAGCTTGATAACCCCTCTGCTATTTTGCCGTGGGGTTTTAAGACCCTGCCATTTTTTTTTAGTGAATTTTTATATACACCGTAGGGTGTTATATACGGGGGATTACGGTATGTGGCGGATGGCTCAATTGAGTTATCTTACAGGCATCATAATCATGCTGTATAAGGATCAAGTATATATATCTGCAGCTGGAGACTCGACTACCACACCAGCTTCATGTGGAAGAAGGGGCTCGCTTCTTTCCCTTCCTCTTCAATCTCTTCCGCTCCTGCAGGCACTTCAATACTTATAAACAATCCCTGGCTTGGCAATAACGAACAGATAGATACCTAGTCCAGTCCTTACCACAGCCAAGAAGTATATGAATGTCACAGCAAACATGACAATGAAGATGTACTGGAACAAGTTAAACCTGCAGTGATTCAACAAAGTACCAGATGTATCCCGTTAGTGCAAAAGCAAGGACATGTACAATCACAGGAGTCTTCAGAAAAGGATACAGCATTACGTACACGTATAAGTAGCGTATCCCTTGCAGGTTTTCTAGAGTATGACCAAATATCTCCTGCACGGCTGTTTCTTGTGCATAGGCAGCAAAGGCTTTTGCACAAAATTGTATTGCGCTGCGGCGACAGGAGTGGACAGAGTCAGCTAACGAACAGTGTGCACAATCAAGTAACTGTGTGTGTGCCTTACCTCGTTGCGCAGCAAAGTATGAGGGCCACATTAAACAAGAAAGAGCTCATAAGGGTAGCATTCCACCTGAGAACATGACATAGGTAAGTCCATCCAAAAAGCAATGAATTATCTTTAGAGGTGGAGCTTTTCATACCTCATAGGATGAATCGACAGGAGTAGAATGTTGAGACCAAGATACATCTCTCCGGACATTACAGCTAGGAAGAGGTAAAAGCAGAAGACAGAAAATGCTCCTGTTCCCAGCAGTCCTGCAGGTGAAAAGTGTATGAGAGTGGGGGTGCTCGTTTTATAAACGTACAAATACCACAGGCACTCACCCCACCATCGATCAAGCATTATGAAAAAACTGTTGAGGAAAGCCGATGCTGGAGGCTGTATGAGCATATAAATGATAATATGCACAATCCAAGCCACAGAAATGCCAAGCCTGCAGAGCCGGTAAACAAACTTGAGATACATAATGGGCAGATAAAAACTCAACCAGGCCAATGATCTCACCCGATGATTCCAAATATAAGTTTCCCAATGTAAACAAATACTGTCATAGCCCAGAACATCTCTGCTTCATCTCCTTGGGGAAATCTTTCTCGGAGCTCAGCTTCCTCCTCTTCCAAATGGAAAAGCGCCTGTTTCAGAAACATCATCAGTTCAAGGACTCGGGCACTTCTGACATCGCAACCTTACCTGCTGCAGCTTCTTTGCATTCCGCCTCCATGCCCAAGTTTTGCTGCCACTTCTCTCCTCCTGCTGGAGAGTGACAGCTAGTTCATGTATCTCCTTGGCCTTCTTCCCAATAGCCGTGGCTTCCTGCATCAGCATTCTGTCATGTGAGGAGAACCATAAAATTGGTCCAACTTACCAGCATTTTCACTCGCTGGTACCTTAATGTATTCAGAACGGCTTATTGTAGCCCTTGGCCGCCTCAGAAAGGAAAGAATTGATGAAAGTGGCAAGGTGGCTATGCCAACGCCACCAAAAATCTGAATGAACGCATCAGTCAAGATGAACATTTGATAGGCGCAAATCTTTACACTTACAGAGAATAGGAGAGACCCCAGTATCGTAAATAACGCAATAATGTACTTCGGAAACGAGACCCTCAGTGTCCATGTGGTCTTGGATCCTTGAGGAGAAGAATATGAAGAACACTGGTTTCACAGGAAGAACAAATTAGCTGTATCCCACAGAATGAAGAAAGGGTGAGATGACGACCTCACTCACCGCACCCAGACCAGTATTATACAAGGAAACACAAGAAGCCTGACTACTAAGCGCGCTAAAGTCTTTTGTCATAGGGATAGTCGCAGAGACCAGCCTCTTCACAGGATACTCTACGTAACCAACAAATCCTGAAATGCGATTAGCACACAACCCAGTCAGTGAGAATTAGGTCGCGCAGAGAACAAATTCTACTACTATCGAACGGCTTACCGTAAAGAACCCCAAGGAGGCCCCCGAAAACAAACACTGACAGCAGACACCACAAGAGCGCGTGCAATACCCGTTTTCCGGTACCCCTGCAGCAAGGCGAGAGCTCAGAAGAGTCGTCCAATGTGAGCCAAGATATAGTACCTGACGTATGGCCTCTTCAACTTACTTTTCTTCATCGTCCTCGTACAAGAAAATGGAGAATGGGATGATGACGAAGACCATGACACATATTGCAATCCAAAGGATGTACCACAAAGTTCTCATGGGCAGAGTCTCAGAGCAATCTCCGTTCACAAAGCCATTAATGCAGCTTTGCCTGTTCGAAACGTCCGCAGGAAGCATGAGAACTGAAAGTTGCGCAAGCGTAAGACCAATGACCTGTGCAAGGCAATCCAAGGCGTTGTATGAACATCACAGCTTCACCACACGCCCAACGCAACGGTGAGCAAAATAAAAGAGAAAGTCACGATCCGATAGAGATCTACGTATAGGTGAGGCATGTGCCGTTGAGATATTCTATGAAACCAGGTCAGGCCTACCACGACAAGTTTTGGGAAGTAGGCTTGGTTTGAGTCATCCGGATGTTGGTAGTTAACAAGGAGATAGATACTGACGGCGATGGAGAGCAATGATACAACGATTGCTACGACAAGCAGCGCAATGTTGAGGTCTCCCATGACTGGTGAAACGAGGATTTCGCAAAATCGTCGATACTACTTTCTGCCCAACTTCGCTACTGGTGCTTGTGGATGGCAATGGGATGAGCAGGCTGTCTGGGCAGTCAATTGAGTTCGTTGGTGAGGGAGCGAGGAGCACCCGTTTCAGCAGATGAATCAGTCCACTGAAGCGATTCGTTCACCCCCGTTATAGAGCACGAGCATGGTGTTGTTGAGACGACAGTCTACCAGTGCTCACCCAGCTAGTCCTACAAAGTGTTCTGCATGGAAGGACCACTATGCAATATTCTGAATTTTAAAAGTAGAAATTCGCCTATTTATGCTATTGTACTGTAATTTTCGAGAGAATATCGGATAATATATATATACCATCTATAATAGTATGCAACACGTCTACATATTGAAAGTTATATAGAGTTATAAAATAGCACAGTATTCATATTTCGAACCCAATAAACATTGTGCAATCCTTGTATCCCCAAATTATATTTCAATGTGTTGAAGGATGCTTTACTACACAATGATCTAGATATCATCCACAAATCCTTGTGAAAAGAAAGCGTCTCCTTGGCGAGGATTTCCATCACGTTCCCAGGTTCGACGGATCGGGCAGGTGAAAACTGAAAGCTGAAGCTTGCTTGACGGTGTGCTTGGCGGCGACTGCGGCTGTGCCGTGGATGAGTTTGGAACAGGCGGAGAATGTCCGTCAAGTCTGTGTCCGTTGCTGGGGAATGTTTTTTCGTGTCAGTCAGCGGTTCGATTTGCCATGCGTCAGTGGTACCCGACACGGATGACACGAGGCGGCGCGTCGAAATCGTCGGCTGGCGGGGCGGGCGGGTGCCGTTGAGGCTCAGCCAGCGCCAGTCGCTTCGTGTGGTGGTTTCGTTCGGGAGGGACATTCGACATGTGCCCCACAGCATGCCATTCCGTGCCAAACCAGCTCATGCGAGGTTTGGCTGGCTGTGTTCCGCCAGGGCACACAGCACGGCGGGGTTCTGCGGTTCGGTTTGGGTGGTTCGGGGTGAGGCACACATCATGGCGTGCGTTGACCCTCCCGCCATCTTGCCGCTTGCTACCAAGCAAACGCCCCAGGGAATGGTTGCTCTGGCATCTCAGCCGAAGTGAGGGGAGTCGAGCAAAATGTCGAATTTCCACATTTTTTAGCACTCGCGTTTCCAACAGCAAGAGCTGGATGAAGCCTTCAATGCTAGCAAATTCAGCTTTACTACAGTAGTCAGGTTGTATGGCACATTAATCGTTTAGCGTGGAGTATCGACTAGCGACGGAATTGATCCGAGAGAAGAGTTTCTATGCTAGCTAGGAAGCGATCGATAAGCATCGGCAAATTCAAGGTAAGCGGCTTCGGAGGGGGGAAGAAGGCGAGTATACGAGGGTCAGATGTGTGAAGGACTTGATGACAGGCAGGAGGCATCTAGAGGCGGCGTCAGATTAGTAGTGATGGCGGCAGCGACGAATGTTAAGGGGGAAAGTCTCGGAAAGTAGCCAATACAGAGCAACAGGTTTCAGCGAACGAATGGTTCTCTCTTGGCTGTAGTCACTTCCTCTGCGCTCTGCTACGTCCATACACCTCCGTCCAGTCTCACTCACACCCTTGATCACGCAACTTTTGAATTTTCTCGCTTCCTTCTCTTCGCTTCGAGGATCGAACACAAAACCACCCGCTCTACGGTCGTTAGCGCAGCACTCCCATGTTCGCGATCCCTTGGGCCTTATTCGCGTCGGGCCATCTTAGTGCGTTTTCCTCACCAGCCAACATCCAGTCGCCCGTATGGATGCTCCTAGGTCATCCTCCCCTCTTCCGTCCATCGTGTTGTCCGCGCCTCCCTCGTTCTGTCCGTTACTAACATTCATCACCTCGTCCTGCCCTTTTTCCTTCTGCCAGGCGAACATCCGTCTATCTCACGACTGTGACTGACTCTGCTTGCATGGCATGGCGTTTCGCGGCTCCACTCTCGCCGTGCCCCTGAGCATGGCCTCAGACATGGAATCAGCACCTGGTTCTTCCGCCGCCCTTCGCGGCCACCTGGCAGACATGGGATTCAGGGAAGCGGAAAGCATAGTGGGAGGTAGATCGGGCACGGGGGGGGAAGGGCGGGATCAGCAGTCAGCGATGGTACTGGCGGCGGTGGCGGAGTCGATAGAGATGCTGCGCACGGCGGGGAGCGACGCGGACGAGAAGGAGCGCGTGGCCATGCAGCTCAGCCAGCTGGCGGAGACCAGCGTCGACGCGCGCGCGGCCATCGGCTACCACGCGCAAGCCATTCCGCTGCTCGTGGGGCTCGTGCGCTCGGGCACGCTGCCCGCGCGCACGCATGCGGCGGCGACTCTGGGGGCGATCTGCGACGAGCAGGAGCTGCGCGTGAAGGTGCTGCTGGGCGGGTGCATTCCGCCCATGCTGGCGCTGCTGCGCAACGGCCCCAAGGACTCGCAGATGGTGGCGGCGGAAGCGCTCTTCGCCATGTCCAAGGCGGGTTCGGGTCGCGACGCCGTGGGCTCGCGGATCTTCGCGTCGGAGGGCGTGGTGCCGGCGCTGCTGCAGCAGCTGCAGAAGCACGCGGGCATCCACCCGGACGTGCTGGGGCTTGTCACGGGCGCCATGCGCAACCTGTGCTACGCGGTGCCGGGCTTCTGGCGCACGGTGGAGGCGGCGGGCGGCGTGGAGATCTTCACGAGCATGCTGTCCATGGGGCGCCCCGCCACGCAGGAGAACGCCGCCGCGCTGCTCACCAGCTTCCTCACCAGCCCCTACCTCGCGCACCCCAATGCGGCCGCCGCGGCCGCGCAGCAGCAGGCCAAGGGCAAGACTCCTGCGGCTACAGTGGCGGCAGCAGCGGCGGCGGCGGCGGTGGCAGCCATGGAGGGCGGGGAAGGGCTGGAGGAGGCGGCAAAGGCGGCGGCTAGAGTGGTGGAGGCCGGCGCCATTCCGCCGCTCCTCGCGCTGCTGCAGCCGGGTCGGGAGGTGGCGGTCAGGACCGAGGCGGCTGGGGCGCTGCGAGCAATCTCAGCCGTGCACGTGGCGGCGCGGGAGAAGATCGCGGCGGCGGGGGGAGTGGGCATGTTGATCCGCGCGACGATGGCCCCCTCGGCGGAGATGATGCAGACGGGGTACGCGCAGGTGCTGCAGGAGAACGCCATGGGCGCGCTCGCCAACATTGCGGGGGGCAAGGCGGAGGTCGTCGCGTCGCTCGCGGCGGCGGTGAGCAGCGCACACTCGGACCGCGAGCTGGCGGACAACATCGGCGCGCTGGCATACGCGCTGATGGTGCTGGAGGAGGACGACGAGGAGGGCGCGGCGGAGGACGGCGAGGGCGGGGGCGGCAGCAAGGTGGACGCAGAGGGCATCGAGCGCGCGCTGGTGGAGAAGCTGAGCCCGCTGCGGCCGGCGTCGGCGCTGGTGCAGGAGCGGTCGATCGAGGCGCTGGCGAGTCTGTACGGCAACGGCGTGGTGGCGCGCGGGCTGAGCAACGCGGAGGGCAAGCGCATGCTGGTGGGGCTGGTGACGCTGTCGCCGGGCGACGCGCAGGCGGAACTGGTGGAGGCGCTGTTCAACGTGTGCGTGCAGGGCGCGGACCTGTGGAGCGCGCTGCACGGGCGCGAGGGCGTGCTGCAGCTGGTGGGGCTGCTGGGGCTGTCGACGGAGGACCAGCAGGAGTGCGCGTGCGCGCTGCTCGCCATCCTCAGCCACGAGGAGGACGAGAGCAAGTGGGCCATCACCGCCGCCGGAGGCATTCCCCCCTTAGTGTCGCTCCTGGGGACAGGCACGGCCAAGGCCAAGGAGGACGCGGCGGAGCTGCTGGGTAACCTATGTTCTTATAACGAGGATATTCGCGCGTGCGTGGAGACGGCGGACGCGGCCCCCGCGCTGTTGCATCTGCTGGGCAGCGGGACGGAGAGGGCCCAAGCGGCGGCGGCGCGCGCTCTTATGCGGCTGGTGTCGGGCGGGAGCAGCGGCGCGAGCGGCGCGATCGGGCAGCTGACGGGCATTCTGGTGGCGGAGGTGCCGGAGTCCAAGGTGCACGTGCTGCGCGTGCTGGGCCAGCTGCTCGCCGACTCGCCCGACGCCGCGGACGACGGCAGCGCGGCCAACGAGGCGCTTCAGACGCTCGTCGCGCTCGTCGAGTCGGAGCGCGAGGAGACGCAGGAGAGCGCGGCGGCGGTGCTGGCGAATCTGTTTGCTGCGCGGGAGGATCTGCGCGAGGGGCCGGTGGCCGCGGAGGCGATACCCCCGCTGGTGCGGCTGGTGGAGGACGGCGGCGAGCCCGTGGCCATGCAGGCGGCGCGCGCGCTGGCGGCGCTCTTCTGCTCCATCGACAGCAACGAGGAGGCGGCGCACGCGGCGAGGGCGAGCATCTTTCCGCTGGTGAAGCTGGCGCGCGCGCGCGAGATGGCGGTGGCGGAGGTGGCGACCACTGCGCTCGCCAACCTGCTGGCCAACCCCGAGCTGGCTCTGCTGGCTCCGGCGGACGAGGTGGTGCTGCCGCTCTCGCGCCTGCTGCGCGAGGGCACGCCGCACGGTAAGGAGCACGCGGCGGGCGCGCTGGCGCACCTGCTGCACTCCCGGCCGCTGGACGAGGAGCTGGCGGAGAGCATCCGCCAGTGCAGCACGGTGCTCGCGCTCGTCGCGCTGCTCGCCGTCGGCGCCAGCGAGGACGCGTCCATGGCGGCGCTGGAGGCGCTGGCGGCTCTGGCGCGTGCCAAGGCGCAGAATTGGGGTGGGCAGGCGCCGCTGGCAGTGCTGTCGGAGGTGCCGTACTCGATGGGCCCGCTGGTGGCGGTGCTGGCGGGGGGCTCGGCGGGCATGCAGGAGAAGGCGGTGGAGGTGCTGTCGCGCCTGTGCAAGGACCAGCCCGTCACGCTGGGCGACATGATCGCCGCCACCGACAACTGCGTCGCCGCGCTCACCGCGCGAATCACGGAGGCGGAGAGTCTGGAGGTGAAGGTGGGCGGCACGGCGCTGCTGATCTGCGCGGCGAAGGAGCACCGCGCGGCGACCATGGCGGCCATGGAGGCGGCGGGCACGCTGCAGCCCGTCGTGCGGTGCCTCGTGGACATGCTGGCGGCGCAGCAGCAGTCGCCCGACCAGCAGCAGCAGCAGCTGGAGGAGGGCGACGGGGAGGCCTCGGCGGAGGCGTTGGTGAGCAGCGTGGCGCTGTGGCTGCTCGCCGTCATGGCGAGCCACGACCACCCCACGCGCGCGCTTGTCGCGGCGGCGGGGGCGGTGGAGGTGCTGGTGGACCGCCTCTCGGCGCTGTCGGCAGAGGGGGAGGGGGCGGACGACGCCGGGATGGACGGTGGGGACGGCACGCAGGCGGGGGACAGCGGGGGTGCGTGGGTGTGCGCGTTGCTGCTGGCGGTGCTGTTCTGCAATCGCGACGTGGTGCGCTCGCCCGTGGCGCTGAGGGCTATCCCTCCCCTCGCCTCGCTGCTCACCTCGCCCGACCCCTCGCAGCGCTACTTCGCCGCGCAGGCCGTCGCGTCGCTCGTGGCGAGCGGCAGTCGCGGCACGCTGCTCGCCATCGCCAACAGCGGCGCCATCCCGCTGCTCCTCGCGCTGCTGGGGCGCGCGGAGGCGGACGTGGCGCACCTGCGCGCGCTGGCGGACGACTTTGAACTGGCGGGCAGTCCGGAGCAGGCGGCGCTGGAGAAGCTGTTCCGCTGCGACGACATCCGCGCGGGCCGCCACGGCAGCGTGGTGGTGCCGCAGCTGATCGCGCTGCTGACGCCCAACGCCGACCAGCCCAGCGCGCCCGCCGTCGCCATCGGGCTGCTCACGCAGCTGGCGGGCGGCAGCAGCGCGAACCGCGTGGCCATGGCGGACTACCGCATCCTGGAGGCGCTCACCACGTACCTCACGCTCGGCCCCCAGGTGAGGCTCGCACCGCTGGTGAGGCTGGCACCTCTGGTGAGAGACGAGCGGCCACTCTCGTACTGCTCCCTCATTTCCTGCTCTCATCCGCTGCTCCACCGCATCACCATGCCATCCCTGCCTGGCCCACCAATACTCAATCACTGTGCCCACTCACCCGCCACCCCTGCCACCACATCCACGCCTTCACCCACTCAACCCTCCATGTCCGTCCGTCTCCCAACCCCCCCTTCCCTCCACTTTCCCCCCCCAGGAGGCGATGGAGGAGGCGGCGGTGGAACTGCTGCGGGTGCTCTTCCAGGCGGACGACCTGCGCCTGCACGCCGCGGCGCCCGCCGCCATGGACCAGCTTGTCGCCGTGCTCAGAGTGGGGTCCAGAGGGGCGCGCCTGCCGGCCGCGGCGGCGCTGGAGGCGCTGTTCGCCGTGGACGCCCACCGCAGCAGCGACGCCGCGCTGCACGCGCTGCACCCGCTCGTCGACATGCTGGGCAGTGGGGGGGCCGCCGCTGCTGGCGCTGCCAGTGGGGCTGCTGGCAGCGGGGCAGTGGAGGGCGAGCAGCGGGCGGCAGCGGCAGCGCTGTGCCAGCTGGCACAGGGCAATGTGGGTCGGGTGCTGCAGGCGTGTGAGGAGGGGGGCATTCCGCTCATGGCCACCATACAGCGACTGCTGGAGGCCCCAGACCAGCCGCCCGCTGGCGGCGGCAGCAGCTACGACAAGGGGGGGGCGGAGGTGAAGGCGGCGGTGGTGGAGCTGCTGCAGATCCTCTTCACCTTCCCGCGCGCGCGCTCCGGCCCCGTCGCCGCCGCGCTCATCCCGCCGCTCGTCGTGCTGCTGCTGCACCCGTCGCCCACGCTGCAGTACCGCGCGGCGGGCGCCGTGGACGCCGTGATGGAGGACGAGCACCAGGCGGACGTGGTGGCGGGGTGCAGCGCCGTGGCGCCGCTCGTCAGCCTGCTGGAGGGCGACCGCCATGGGCTGCATGCAGCGGCCAGCAGTGCGCTCTTCAAGCTGGCGAGGGACCGGCGGCAGTGCAAGCTGGACATGGCGGGCGCAGGGGTCATCGAACGCATCATTGCCATCTTCCCTTCGGCGCCCATCGCGCTGTGCTCGCTGTTCGCCGAGCTGCTGCGCGTACTCACCAACAACTCCACCGTCGCCAAGGGCGCCGCTGCTGCACGCCTCGTGGGCCCCGTGTTCGCCATGCTGCGCCAGGCGGAGCTGTCCCCCGCTGCACAGACCAGTGCGCTGCAGGCGCTGGTGAACGTGCTGGAGAAGCCCGGGCGCCTGGAGGCCCTGGAGCTGGCCCCGTGCGACGCCATGGAGCCGTTGGTGCCACTGCTGCTGTTGCCCTCGCTGGTGGTGGCGCAGCTGGCGGCGGGGCTGCTGGCGCACGTGCTGTCGCTGGAGGCCTTCCAGAGCGATGGCATCACGGCCGCTGCAGCAGCGCCGCTGGTGCGGCTGCTGGGCAGCGAGCTGGAGTCGCTACGCACAGAGGCGCTCAAGGCACTGGAGCTCGTGTCCGCGTGCTGGCCGGGCGCCATCGTGGAGGCGGGCGGCATCGACGAGCTCTCAAGGCTCGTGGCCACGGCACCGCACCCCATGTGGCAGATGGCGGCGACGGTGCTGGCCAACGTGCTGCGCGCGCACGACAAGTGTGCGGCGCAAGTGCCTGTGCCCGTGCTGGTGCGCCTGCTCATGGCCAACACCGAGCCCGTGCAGGTGGTGGCGCTCTCCGCCCTGCTGGCGTTGGAGCGCGAGGACCCGTCGCGCGGGGACGAGATGGCGCGCATGGGTGTGGTGGACGCGCTGCTGGAGCTGCTGCGCTGCCACCAGGTGGAGGAGGCGGCGGCGCGCCTGCTGGAGGCCATCTTCAACAACGCGCGCGTGCGCGACTCGCAGACGGCGCTGCGCTCCATTGCGCCGCTGGCATCGTACCTGCTGGACCCCAACTCCCTCGACCCCAACGCCAAGCTGCTGGCGGCGCTGGCGCTGGGCGACCTCTTCCAGGAGACCAGCGTGGCGCTCAAAACCGTGGACCTCACGGGCGCGTGCCGCGCGCTGGTGGCGCTGATGGCGGAGCGGGCGAGCGAGGACCTGGTGATGGTGGCGCTGTGCGGGCTGCAGAATCTGGTGGCCAGCTCCCGGTCCAACAAGCGCGCCGTGGCGGACGCGGGCGGCTTCGCGGTGCTGGTGGAGCTGCTGACGGGCGGGTCGGCGGAGGTGACGTCGCAAGCGGCGAACCTGGTGCGGCTGATGCTGAACAACCACACGGTGCAGGAGTATGCGACGCCGGAGCTGGTGTCGGCCATGACGGGCGTGGTGGAGCGCGAGCTGTGGAAGACAGCCAGCGTGAATGAGGAGGTGCTGCAGGCCATCGAGGGGCTGCTCGCCACCTTCTCGCGCCTGCGCTTCAGCGAGTGCGCCACGGCCGCCATCCCGGTGCTGGTGGGCGCCATGAAGGTGGGCAGCGAGGTGGCGCAGGAGACGGCGCTGAACGTGCTGTGGCTGCTGCGGCAGGGGTGGGCGCAGAGCAAGGAGATGGCGCGCCTGCAGTCCATCGCCATGGGCGACACCATCCCCGTGCTGCAGCTCATGCTGCGCTCAGGGCCCATCAACCTCTACGAGAAGGCCGAGACGCTGCTCTCCGTGCTGCCCGGCAGCCTGTCGGTGTGCGTGAAGCGCGGGGCGAACCTCAAGGCGTCCATGGGCGCCACCAACGCGTACTGCAAGGTCACTCTGGGGGACACGCCCGCCAAAGTCACCAAGGTGAACAGATGGGAGGGAGAATGGAGTGGCGCTGGGAGGGGGCAGGGATGAAGGGTGGTGGTTGAGCATGGGGGGATATGGGCGAGCGATGGCTGGTTCTACAGGCAATGACAGCAGTCTGAGCCGATGAGCAGATGTTCTTGCTCCTTGCTCTTCCACCTTTGGATGTACCATCTTACCTTGTTTGCTCTCATTGTGTGTGTGTGCCATGTATTGCCATGTGTCCATGCCATTTGGATGTTGTGTCCTTCTGATATGTATGGAATGGTGTACGTCGCTTGTCGGCATGGCATGGCATGGCACGTGAGTCCAGGTGGTGAGCGCCACGAGTGACCCCGAGTGGAAGCAGACGTTCACGTGGCCGCTGGACGCCCCTCCTCGAGGCCAGAACCTCCACATCTCGTGCAAGAACAAGGGCACTATTGGCACGGTGAGTCAAGACAGCAGCATGCAATGGTCAACAAACGGGGTGCTGGCTTCCCACGTGTGCCCCACTGCTTGAGTTCATGCCATGCTCAGTGTATTACTCTTGAGGTCATGCCATGCTCAGTGTATTACTCTTGAGGTCATGCCATGCTCAGTGTATTACTCTTGAAGCTGCCAGCCCACGGCTCTACTGTGCTTCCTCGCCCTTGCCTGTGTCTGTGTGCAGAGCTCCCTGGGCAAGGCGACGATTCAGATCGACCGGGTGGTGGCGCTGGGAATGGTGTCGGGGACGTACGTGCTGCAGCCAGAGGGCAACCGGGACGGCACCCAGCGCACCATCGAGGTCGACTTCATGTGGTCCAACCGCTGATAAACTTCCATCCACCTGCTGATGATGGTGGACCTCATATGGTCCAATCATTGATATATTCTTGCAGCGCCTGGGGTGCGCTTGAGCAGCACATGCTCTCAGTGCACCATGGCCCATCTTCTACTGTGGTCACGTGTCCTGCTCGCCCTATTGCGGGGAATCTTCCACAAGGAACACACCCCGCACTGAGTCACAGCCACTCCTCTCTGCACTGCCACAAATGGCTCGCTGGTTCCAATAACACTACTCTGGCTGGATGGAGGCAGCTCCCACTCATGCACGTTGCTCCGTGGCGCTAAACTGCCATGCATGCCACACTAGCTGCTGCCATAAGGGCTGAGCTTGGACTACCATCAACAGCATCAGCCATGTGACTCCTGCTACACCCTATACCCAGCCTGCTTGCCTTGCAGTCCAAGCAATTGGGGGCTCCAAGCTTCAGATCATAAGACACTGCAGTCTAGCTAGTAGTGTCTACTGTAGGCACCCTTTAGGGCTAGCATGTGTGGTGTGCATACTGCACATGAAGAGCCGTCAGTGGATAGCATCAGCCACTAGTCAGAAGATTCCATGAACACCCCTCTCCACTGTGTCCTTGCCTCCTGTAAGCCGTGAAAGTGAGCCCCACGCGGCCGTGCACCTGTTGAAATTCGGAGAACTGGATTGTCATGCCATGTGGCTTCACATAGATTGCACAAAGCATATGCAATGCAGGCATCTTGCGAAATATTCCCACTTGCTAAGACATGCATCCATTAGTGCTACAGTAGATGGATCCAACTAAACAGCACTACTGGATGTGAGAGGTGGAGAGGAGACGCCTCATGCCATGTCAGGCACCCATGGGCGCAGTTGGAAAGAGTAAAACCATCACCTGCAACGAGCATGGGATGCCGAAAACAAAGTGCCAAGTGAAAACAATCTGATGCATGAAGCCATAGTGAGACGAGACACAGGAGCAACACATGTTCGGCCAAACACGCATGAAAACAGCGACATTGGGGGCAGAAGGCACTGAATTAGGATGGTTGGACGAACGTAAGGCAGCCTGACCTGGCCCACTTGAATCAGCGTGCATGGGGCTGCCAGTGTGATGGACATCGCCAAGGGCGCTCTCGCAGCCCACCTGCACATCCTGCACTGTGGTGAATGCGAGCAGCCCACCTGCAGTGTGGTGAATGCGAGCAGCCCACCTGCACTGTGGTGAATGCGAGCAGTGGGGAGGCCACCCCCCCTCCGTGCACGAGGCCATCGCCGCCCACCATGGTGGCACTCAGCCCGCCCATGCGACTGCCGGCATCCGAGGGGTCGTCCGGCACGTAGGAGCCCGACAGGGATAGCAGATCAAACGGGCCCTGCAGAGAACGAGGCAGGTGAGAACGATAATAAATTGCCATTTCCCTCAAAAGGCCCCCCCTCCCCCTCGACCCCCAGCCCCATCCCATCCGCAACCCCCCCTTTCCCACCCGCCCCAACCTCTCCACAGACTACCCACCTCCTTCTGAACCCTCTCCAACCCCTCCTTCCTCTTTCCCCCCTTCCCCCCCCCCCCTTCTCTCTCACCCCTTCGCCAAACCCCTTCTCCCTCACCCCCTCGCTCCTTCTTAATCCTCTCCCAACACACGCATACAACCCGACATAAACACACAAGCACACATGAACACACAGGGTGCATGCACCTGCACAAAATGCACGATACCAGCTGTGGTTGAGGGAAGCGAAGTGCACGCACAACACACACCACACATGAGTTGGCCTGGTGTTTGCCACTCTCTCACTCACCCCATGGATTGCACTCCTCTCACCCACCCCGTGCCTCGTGCTCCCTCTCACCCACCCCGTGCCTCGTGCTCCCTCTCCCCCACCCCGTGCCTCGTGCTCCCTCTCACCCACCCCGTGCCTCGTGCTCCCTCTCACCCACCCCGTGCCTCGTGCTCCCTCTCACCCACCCCGTGCCTCGTGCTCCCTCTCACCCACCCCGTGCCTCGTGCTCCCTCTCACCCACCCCGTACCTCGTGCTCCCTCTCACCCACCCCGTACCTCGTGCTCCCTCATGCCCACCCCGTACCTCGTGCTCCCTCTCACCTACCACGTACCGCACCTCGTGCTCCCCGTCACCCACCCTGTACTGCACCTCATGTTCCCCTCACCCACTTCGTGATTGGTGCTGGTGAAGGCGTCGCCCGGCCCTGTGAGCGTGGGCGAGTGCACGGACCCGTTGGCTGACAGCACGCACACCGCCTTGCCCTCCTCGCGCGACAGCAGGAACACCCGCGCCGCTATGTCCTGCACCCAGTCCCGGGGATGGCACGCCAGGGGCGAAACAAGGGAACGAAGCGAGCCAGCCGCACATATGGTGGAATACTTTGCTTCCATGCCCAGCCTCTTCCATGCCCAGCCTCTTCCATGTCCAGCCTCTTCCATGCCCAGCCTCTTTCATGCCCAGCCTCTTTCATGCCCAGCCTCTTCCATGCCCAGCCTCTTTCATGCCCAGCCTCTTTCATGCCCAGCCTCTTTCATGCCCAGCCTCTGCCCAGCCTCTTCCATGCCCAGCCTCTTCCATGCCCAGCCTCTTTCATGCCCAGCCTCTTTTATGCCCAGCCTCTTTCATGCCCAGCCTCTTCCATGCCCAGCCTCTTTCATGCCCAGCCTCTTTCATGCCCAGCCTCTTCCATGCCCAGCCTCTTTGCGGACCTCCGTCCTATCTATGGTGGGAATACTCGTTGTCCTGCAGGCACAAATAAACCAAGTACCCTTGACATTTCAGAGTGGAAATAAGGTGGTGAAAAATGGAGAGGGAGTCACAGAGACAATAGATTCCCTAACGAAGTAATTTTAACAGCTACTTTTGGAGTGAGTTTTCATGCCACGCATCAGCCCCCACCTCTCATACCTCGCCACGTGGAACCAGGAGGACTCTTGGCTCGAGCGCTGCAAACAAGGCGCAGCGGAGAGGGCACGGAGCAGGGAGCGGGAACAGCCATGAGGGGGTTGGTCCAGGGAATGACCGAGCGCGAGGTCGCGCCCAGACTAAAAAGGTTAAAGAGAAGCAACGCCGGTCGAAAGGGCACTAGCGCTCTAGCGATTGGCGCGCGGAGACAACAGGAAGGGCAGAAAGGGGGAGGACAGACGCACAACTAGGGAGGGCAGGCGACTCGCTCTTTTTCCTCTTGCTGCCCAACGGCCGTCCCGGCTTTCTCCCAGCCACACTCAGGTTTTTAGGCGGCCGTCCCGGCTTTCTCTTTGGTAAACTCGCGTCCTTAGGCGGCCGTCCCGGCTTTCTTTTCGGTAACGTCGAGTCTTTAGGCGGCCGTCCTGGTTGCCGCTTTGGCGGGCTCGGGTCGGCAGGTGACCGCTCGCCCTGCAGCTCGTGCGATCGCGAGACCTTGGGCGGCCGCCCGCGCTTCCGCTTCGGAAGCGCGGGGTCCTTGGGCGGGTGTTTTCGGGGCCGGCCTCGCGGCCGCTTCAAGGCAGGGGCGGGTTGCGATTCCGCTGGTCGTGAAAGCAACTCGGCGTGAGGCTGCGACATGCGGTCGATTTAATTCCAAGGAGGCCTCACTGCGGTAGAGCATAAGCGACAGCACCGTGAAGTGAGCTCGTGCAGTCCACGCGATGCTTTCCACCACCTCAGCTGCACTATTAGCACTCTAGGACCCGACCAAGGCTGCGTTCAGCAGGCAATTCTGGAAGCTTCCAAGTCGCGTTCAGAAGGTTCCGCAACAGCGCTTTTTTGTTCCGGAACTTGGGTCAGCCCGCAAAAACGTGCCAAACCAACCTCGAGCTGTCCGAACCTAGAAGAGTAGCGTTGCTTGCAGAACGCACCCACCTCAACGCGGAGGTTGAGTTCACGAAGGTCGAGGGGCAGATTCGTCCCCAGGCAACTGTGCACTCTGCCGCACGTCCAAGTGGACTCCGCCAAATCGCAGGGGGACGCGGTGGAGTCGAGGTACTAGGGTGAACCACAACCCCACCCCGCAAAATACCTACAGCTGGACAACACCTCCCACAAAACCAAGATGCGCATGCCCAGAAAGAAACAAACCTCTCATGGCTTCAGCTCCTCAAAGCACCACGCACTCCTCTCACAACCACCAGAGCACCCTAGTGGTTGGTGTTCGACGCTTTTTACCCTATTTGTTTTTGAATGGCAAGGGGAAGTTGTTCATCAAGCGTTTTTGTTTCTATTGTTGCCCTTGTCGAAATCACTTGCGCGCTTTCCCCACTTGGCCTGCGCAGCTTTACGGTGTGGTTTGGGAAGGCCCTAAGTGGGCTGGGTGGTTACCATTACATGCGAAATGACATGGGCTACTTCCTGAACTCAATCTCTGCCATCTACTCCACTGCCTGCAGAACCCAGCCCAAGTGTACAATGCTAGGTACCCAGTTACGCTGGCGAATTTTGAAGGGTCTCCTCTCAGAATAGTGTGGAAAAGCGATGAAGGGCGTGTCCCAACCCACATATTCTGTATGCGGTGGTGTACGGTGATACGCGGTGGGAGATGGTATTTCGACATCACCGATCTGAACCTCTAATTATCGTGTTGCACCTGTACAAACAATATGCGGGACGTACTATTGGGACACGTCCTAAGGTAAATATCGATGGGGAAACAAGAGTGGGATTGTACCCCCTAAGAACTGACCTGGTTATGCTATAACAAATAGAATCTAACTAATATATGTATATTTGTTTGACACACCCCCTAGCCTACATAGTGGCAGTTTATAACAAAATAGAGCAAACCAAGGCAACAAATCTAATCAGGCCTTTGGTGGATATAGCAAAGCAACTCAGGGCAGTACTATTAATTTGACCACTACGAGGGCCACAAGGCCACAAGACCACTACGACAAGGGCCACAAGGCCAGTCAGCAAGTGTAGCAAGGCAGGCACGTATAAAACAGCAAATACAAGCCGGTATAGCATAGATCAGGATACAATGAGCGAAGCTGCTATTAATACTAGACCAAGTTGAGTACACAACCGCTGATAGTCACGAGGCGCTAGCGCCTTGGTAAAGATATCAGCAGTTTTGGCCTCTGTACTACACGAGCCTGACCGCGTTGCTGCAATTCACGCAGCAGGAAGTAACGTAACATAATGTGATTCGCCCTACCCTCAAGTCGAGCCTCCTGACATAGGAGGATCATAACCCTATTGCCAGCAAACAGGACCGAGGCAGACCTTGGCTACTTGCTTAAGTCAGTGAGCAAGAACGCCATCCAGCGGAGCTTATGAGCAGCCATGGCCCCAGCGTAGATCGCTGCCTCACAACTGGACTGAGCTACAGACGACGACCTAGTGGACCTCCATAAGACTACACCAGCACCAAGACTACAACAGTAGCCCTGTGAGGACCTGAACGTCTCCAAGTCGTCAGCCCACCATGCGTCTGTGTGTCCAGTGAGAACCACTATCTTCCGTCCTCCTAGCACAAGCTCCAGTCCTGATGTACTCGCCAGATACCGCGATACCCTTTTCGCAGCGGACCAGTGCTGGGGTCGATGCCTGCAAGTCGCAACAAAGCGAGCAAGGATACTTAGAGGGTACGCTAGATCTGTTCGAGTGTACATCATCAGCTAAATGAGGCACCCACTAGCTTTGCGTATGGACCACTGGGCTCGGCCGTCTTAGCCGGAATAGGAGCAGAGAGCTTGTGATCCACAGGCACCGGAGTGGGCTGTGCTGAAGATAACTGAAGGCCGAACCGCAGCTCTCCCAAATCTGTACAGGTGTGTCGCCTGAGCAGCTTGGCCTGAGACCAGTGTGACTCTGTCAGGATTAGCAAATATAAGGTCGTCTACATACACAATTATGTAGAACGAAGTCTGACCAGTTCGGACAAAGAGCGAAGGGTCAGCAGAGGACAGGAAGAATTGCAGAGAAACAAGCATAGTGCGGAGCGTGTCGTGCCACTTACGGGGTGCTGACGCAGACCGTAGATACGGCAGCGAATGATCCACTGGGTCCCAGACGAGAAGGACCAAGAGAAGCCTAATGGGCACCGCAGGAAGATCTACTCGTGTAGGCTGCCCTGCAAGAAGGCCGTAGAGAATTCCAACGAGTGGAGCTCGTAGTTACCTTGTGTGGCTAGGTGAAGGAGCACCCGAAGAGTAGTCATCTTCGGCGTGGGGGAGAAGGTATGGAAGAAGTCCACACCCTCTCGCTGATTGAAGCCTCTAGCCACGTAGCGCGCTTTGAACTTCGGCGGCTCTCCAGGTGCGCGCTTCACCCAATAGATCCATATGCCATCAACTACGTTCGCCCCAGGTGGGGGAAGTGCGCCGATGTAAGTGCCTGTGGATCTGTAGGACACCATCTCAGCCTCCATGAACTGTATCCACCTAGCTGCCCAGGGCTCCGACACCGTTTCAGCGTAAGAGCACGGGATAGGGATCTCAAGGACGTTTGGGTGACCCTCTGGGAATACAAGCACGACACAGAGATGGGGTACAGAGCTCGCAAGGTAAGCCAACTTGTACAGCCTGTCCTCTTGTACGTCAATGCCAAGGGCAGGTGCACCTCCGATGGATGGAGGATGGGCAGTACCAGAGACCAGAGCGGCAACATAGCAGCGAAGTCAGCGGCAACAGTGACAAGCATAGAGACGGTCTCATGAGGAGCAATAGGGTCAATGACAATAGAGGAAAGCAGTCGCACAGTGGTAGGACGGGCAGTGTGCTCAGCGTCAGGGGGAGGAGCAGAAAACTGGGGCTAGGCCGAATGGGAAGGCAACAACAGGACTGGGACTGGAGGAGTACAAGAATGAAGAACCATAGGGTGGATGCTAGGACGAGGAGAGACAGGACGACCACTAGGGGGACGACGAACTCAGTGTGAAAGGACGTGGGACAGGGGACGCGGGGGAGCGGGGTACATGACAGGGGACAGAGGAGAGCGAGGGGGGAAACGAGCCGGAGAGGAGTTTGGGGGGGAGAATAGCGGGCCGTTGATAGGGTCAGGCAGAGGAGGAGGAACTGGCGTTTGGGTAGGGGAACCAGAGGAAAGGCCAAGGAGACGAAGGACAGACTGCGGCTGCTGCTATTGCTGCTGCTGCTACCGCTGCGGCTCCCTGCCCCCTCCAGGACCTCTAGTACCACCCCAACTACCACCTGTACTCTCCCAAACAGCATCCGCAGGACTAGCACCCCTTGACGCACCACCCACAGAACCAGCACCCCCAGAGTCAGCACCCCCAGAAATAACACCCCCTGAACCCATTACCCCTTGCTACTACTGGTGTTGCTGCTGCTGCGGCCGCTGAGGCTGCTGCGGCTGCTGCTGAGGCGAGGGAGGAGGCTGCTGAGGTGCCTGGAGGACCAGGGCTGAGGGGGGAGGCATCGCAGGGACAGCAGGCGCACCTTCAGCGACAGGGCCGCCGGAGTCAGCAAACTCCCCCACGGGCCCAACGGAGGGGAACGTAGTGGCGTGAGAGACACCAACCGGGGTCGGGCGGAGTGGGAGGGGTGCGGCAGGTGGGGCAGGGGCGAGAAAGATAGAAGGAGGAGAGACAAAAGATCTATAGTGAGGGAAGCACCAGCAGTAGGGAAGCGTCTCGTCGAAGGTAATGTTACGAGAGCAGTAGAAGCGGTGGTGTACCAGGTGGTAAAACAGCCAGTCGGGGACGTCAAGAGAAAACTTGAGGAAGACACAGGGGAGACTGCGGGCTGAGAGCTTGTCTATACCAGTGGCATGGATGTAAGCAAGGCTGCCCCAGACGTGGATCGGAGAACTGCCTTATATCCGGCCTACAAGTGATATTTTCACTGATTTCAATCTAAGAAACTTCTGTAGAAGTGAACCACATGTTTAGGGTGGCCTGGATATAGAGTTGGTGGAACCATGAGTAAAAGTCAGCGGAAGACTTTACACCTTGTATTGGAAATGTCCGAAATGACAAGGATATTAATAATGAATACTATATGCATATTTATAGTCTAGGAAGTACCTACTTGGATGTACCTCTTTGTAGTTTATCGCGACTATTCGGGTGACATGACTCGTGATGGTTCGTGTGACTGAGAGTGGCGTGACCCTTCGGGTGACTATACGCGCAAACCTACTGTTCACTCGTTGACTCACTACTGCTGACGTCATCACGCGCGTCCTTCCAAATGAGGTATCGCACTACTAGTGTAGTCTATTATATCAGGAATGCATAAGTAAACTCTGTCGAGTATACTTTAACACTCCCCTTCATTCCTAAGTGTATTTCTCTGGGTAAGTGTCGCCGCGCTTGCAAATTCCAACCAGGTTGGATCAGTACCGAAACTTGCTGTGTGGGAGTTTCTTCGTAAAAAAATCAGTTGCCATTTCTTCTGTTGGGCAGTATTTTAGGATGGACCTTCCATTTGTCGGTTTCGTCCTTGACAAAGAAGTAACAGAGGGCGATGTGTTTTGTCCTATTGACGAAGCCGGGCTTGTTTGCAATCTTGATTGCGCTCTGGTTGTCGCAGAGAAACTTGAAGTTACGTGTCGTTGCGATTTTTGCCTCTTGAAATAACTCTTGAAGATAGAGTCCTTCGCGAACTGCAGAGCTTGCTTCGACGAATTCTGCTTTGGCTGACGAAAGTGCGATGGCTTCCTATTTTGTTGAGTTCCAAAAATGACACCACTCGGTTCAAGT